TTCCATAGGAAACATTTGAGTGCAATCCCACATCGTGTCTCCCAACTATTACACTGAACAAACACAATAAAAATGCAACTTGTCTGTCTCCTTATTCGCTTTAAGCATTCCTAATACTCAGACATCGTCTCTTCCGGTTAGCTCTCCATGTTTGCACTCAATGTCCAATGGCAATGTGCACCGCAACCCACTGGTCGCTGGTCTCTGGTCGCTGGTCCCTGGTTCGTGTGTTCATGTTATTCATATCGATGATCATGCGAGATCTGGTCACGCCATCCCGCCGCCTGCTATATTTAGAGCTTATGGCAGTGCCTTCCTTTTTTTTATTGCTTTATTACATTTACTTTTTAGAGCAGTTGTTGCTGGTTCATTTGCTTATTTAATGACGCAAGATGTGTGTGGAGGAGACTGAGACTCGTGTTACGATTGTTGCTGGTACTTCCCACTTAATGGGGTTGTTAATTATCGCAAGGACTGCCAATTGGCTGGGTCACCCTTAAGCAATTAGCTCGAGTTCTGGCCGCCTCTTTGTCCTGGACTTCGTTACGTTCTGTTGCTCCTTTGGCCAGCAATTGATTTACGCTTCAGTGGGGAGTAGACTTTGTGGACTAGATGGTAGATACTGGCTGGGGATCTGGGATGCCGAAACAGTTGGAAAACCATTTGCAAAGGACACACACAATGCAAACACCCAAAATGGCACACACTTTGTCCAGGACTTAGAGGACTATTTTGGGAGCTTGGGTTTTTGCCAGCTTCTGCTTTTGCTTCTCTCCTCTTTGCCGAGTCCTTTGAATGTGCATTGGAAACTCGATTGCGTCCTTGACTGCTGCAAATGCCTTTTGTCAATAGCACAGACACAGAGACCCAACCCCAAAGCCCCCATGGCTAAGAAGAGGCACAAGGATCTGGGAAAACAGCAGCAAAACTAGGAATAGGTGAAGCTCGACACACACACACACACACAGACACAGACACACATATGGCATCAAAGAGCTTTTAATTAATCAAGAGGCAATCCACTTTGGCGTTGGAAATCTTTACCTTACCCAATATGCCAATACCAATGGGGGAGTAAGTAAACTTACCTCAACGTCCCTCAAGCTCCAACTTAACTCTATCTCTGGCTCTGGCACTCGTTTTCTCCCTCTTAGCCTCTGCCCCTGCCTCTGCCTCTGCTTACTTATTCCTGTTCCTTTGTCCCAGCTGCACGTGGAGGTGTGTGGGTACTGAACTGAACCTCCTCTTTGCTTTTTTGCTTCCTGCATTTCATGCATTTATCGATTGGATGTCCTTTCCTTGTGCCAGGATCTGCCTGGGCATACATGATTAGTTTGTTTCGTGTCCAATTCGCAGCGATTTGTAGCTGTCGCTTAGTTCCACTCTGTGTGTGCCGTAATTTGACAGCTGAACCACATTTGATTATCTATGCGGCAGGAGGAAAGGAGAGTTTCCAGCAGTATTCCAGTAGTCAAATAAGTTGAACAACTCTCTGTCTTTGCTGTGATTTATAACCAAAGCAGCTGCGCTCTTTGATGTAGTTTTGGTATTGCTAGGTTGAAGGGAAGAACTACCGGGAAAACATGAACTGCTCGTGCGCTGGGACTGTTCATCAATAAATTTGCGGCATTCGAAATAATCTCGCTCGTATATTTTTGATATCAATACAAAGAGTAAAACAAGGCAGGGTTTAGTCATAAGAAATCATTAAAAATGTGCAATTAATACTCGATTTACGCCGAGTAACCTGGGGCCATACTTTTAAGTGTCTTTAGTGCACGAGTGTTAAAATTTCCACTAGACATGCATAAAATTGATGCTCAAAATTGTTGAGTGAAGATAAAGAACCCAAAATGTACTAAGCAAACCAACACAAATTAATGAAAGCTAACAAGAGCCTAACGCTACATTTTCCTATTGATTCTTGACAGATTTTCCTACTCAAACAGCCAACCAGAATATACCCAAAGTTGATCCCTTTAATTAAAAGCAGATTCAAACAGTTTAGCACAAAGAAAAGTACAACTTTTCAGTGACTAAACACACTCGTAAAAGCATAATTTCAATGACTACCCACCCAATGCAAACCGCCAAAACACAAAGTCACAAAAAGTCGCTTAAAAAGTTGTACCCAAACCGAAACTGAAAGGAAAGCTAAATGGCGGAAAAAAAGAACATCAAGTGGAGGCAAAAAGTGAGTGTGTTTTAATTTTTATTTACACGACATAAAACGAGAGGAGAAGAAGGCTCCCTGGAGAAGGAGGAGAGGAGAGCCGTGGAGAGCGTTTAAAAAGGCAAACCCCAAGATGGGACCAAGAGAATGGCTTTGGGTGTACCGCCAAACGTGTGGCATGTGTAAATATTTTTACTTAATTAGTGCCACCCCACGCCAAATAAAAAAGATAGTAAAAAAAACAGGAAGGTCTCCGAATGAGCTTAAAAGCGCGAGAAAAGTGCGAAGCTCATTTTGTAAAATAAACAAATTCATTTAATTACGCTTAAGCGACATGCGAGTGGGGTTGCCCGACCTCTCCACATCTCCAGAGAGGCAGCGAATGAGATAAAAGAAATACTTAGCTGTGCCAGGGACACCAAATGTTAACCGGTAATGGAATGGAATTTCAGCTTTCAGGCAATTTCCCACTTGCACCTTTTGCCTACCACGTAAATATATCACAGGAAAGGCAGAATGGAGGCAAACACCGAAGGTTGAGATACTCTTGAATATTTCTTTAAATATACTTTGATATATAATGGATAGAGAAAAATATTTACCCAAGGGAATTGCTTGTTTATAATGAACCAAGCTGTGAGAGTTGAAGGGATCGGTGGCCAATTTCCTTGAGATCGATGCATCGTAACACCCTCTAGAAGAGTAAATAAAATATATATTAAATTGTAATTTTATCAATTCGATTGACCATTAAAAGTCAGTGGAGAGCGCAAACACAGGACACAGGCGACAAAGAGACACAAAGGCAAGAAATCAAAAGAGACAAAAATGCAATCATGTTGAAAATATTTGCATATGCGCCAGCCCTCCACGCTCCATACGCTGTCCTCACGCCCCTCAGTGTCCCTTGGCAACCGGAAACGGAAGTGAACAATGGCCAGAGCGACCCGTCACAGAAAAAAAAAAGGCAAAAAGGCAGGCACTGAAAGCGCCAAAAGCGTTGCAATAAAACTGCAGGCAACAAAACGGGCAGCGGCAAAAAAAAAAAAGAGGAGAACAAAAAATATGGCCAAAGAAATAAGTCAAGCCAAAAGTGAAGAAGAAGTGCTTTCCCATTGATGATGAAAAATCGAAAATGGATGCTCGTTTTTGGATTGCTCGCTCGTCCATTGTTGGTTCAGGATGGAACTCGAAATACAAAAAAAGGAGGAGCAAGCGTGGGCAGAGCAGGGGAAAACTGATGAAATTGAAGAACAAAAATGTGTTCACACACACACACACACACACACACACACACACAGGCTAACTACCAGTGAACAGCGGGTGGGGAGTGGGGAGTTGGGGGACTATTGAAAATAATATGACGACTAAAGGCACAGGCACACGAGTACGACGAGCCTGTGGAATGAGTACTCGGTATACTCTTATGTATAAGGGAGGCAGGCAGGCCGAATGGCATGCCATTGTTCCTGTCAAACAAAATGAACGAAAATCGGTGAAAAAAAAGCCACATCGGCATCATTGTGCCTGATTGTCCTTTCGTTTTGTATACGTCTTTATTTCTTGACACGAAGAATGTGACATGATATGGAAATATTTGTGTATTTATAGATTGAAGTTTGTGAATTCGATTCAAATTCGGAACAGCGAAAAGCCGCTTTAAATAAATCATAAAGTTGAAATTGAAAAGTAAATTCTGATCGTTGGGAAACATTCGACTAAAAAGCTTACACTTTTCTCTCTCATCTTTAACTACCAAACCATTTCATCAATGAAAGTCTCCCAGTGGTGGTTCAAAATCCAAAATCTTATCAGCTTATAAAATGTCGCAGGTACTGTTAAATCCATACTCATTTATAGCATTGATAAGATGTTACCAGCCTGAGCAAACAATCACGAGCAGAAGCAAATCAAAGATTATAGATTAAAACTGACTTATACATTGAAGTGCCATTGCAGGCGGTTGTTTAAATAAACTTAAATTCGTGTCTGTCCCACGATTTTCCAGACAATTAACAAAATGTCTGTAATAATTTGCATATGCAACACTTTGTGGCGTGCCAAATATTGCGCTTGGCCTGCAGCTGTAGCTGCTTGCTGTCGCTGTCTGCTGCAGACACCAGAGCATGGGAGCCAGACACCGACATAGATACAGAATTAGATACAGATACAGATACAGATACAGATACAGATACCGACGCACAGATATGTAGATACGGCTTGGACAATGTTTGCATTTTCCTGCCACTGTGCTGTGGTGGCCAGAGATTGACAACTCCAGATAAGCCCCGGAAAATGCCCTCTTTTGCAATTCAAATGAACAAACCTGAATGAATATTTCTTATCGCGATCCAAAACTGTGAACAAGATATGGCCAATGAGATAGCAAATATATTGGAAATTTAGCTAAGCTAAATGTCTGCTTTATTGTTGTGTATTTATGCATGACTTTCATAAGCGTTGAGTAGCCAACAAACATCTGTCGATATGTACTGTAACTTATCTGCAAAGGTTGGCTTCTAACCCCTTTAACGCCAAGCATTTGCTATCAGACTAGAATATATTTATACAGGTATTCCCGTATCTATAATATAACGAACTGGAAGCTTTGAATATATTTTCATTGTTTCTTTACCAAGGGAACATGGCAGCAGACTTTGCCAACGTTTTTTATTACTCTTAAAATCAAGCCAAAATATATTTGGAAACGAACATTATAAATGGATTTGATTTGAATTCGTTCTTTAGGTTTTCTGCTGCTAAAAAGCAATACAAATATAAACATAAATAATAAAAACAAAGAACATCAAAGTAAAAGCACGAGCTTCGAAAATATTTCAAGTGTGGTATTTATCAATCTACAAGGATCTGTGGCATGTTCTTTGAGCTGGCAGCACATGAACTTGAATGACCATCTAGATAATGAATCATGGCCATATTCCACATTGCCATAGCGGCAATCATTCCGCGCCATTCGGTCCATTGTTGTCCGTAAAACAGCTGCTGCAACGCATCCATCACACACACACACACACACACACACACACCAAAAAGCAAGTTTTGGAGAAACAATGAGCATCCTGCCTCGGGAACATCACTCAGATGTTGATGATGTGTACTGGGATCGGAAGGAAGCATTGCATGGGGCATGCCGTTGGTAGCGACTCCAGGCTCTGGGGCAATCAGTTTCAGTTCCAGTTTCTGGCCCTCGACTGCGACTTGGGTTCTGTGTTCTGTTGAGGTAAACAATGTCCAAAGCCAGTTAGCCAAGGGCCTTTTGTTGCTGTGATGTATATTGATGAGGAGTCGACCGGGTAGTCAGTCAACCAGGCACCCATCCATCCATCCATCCACCCATCCATTCAGCCAGCTGTTTTTCAAGGAAATTGAACGCACTTGACTCGCAATGAATTGGAGCTGAAGCTGTTGCTGGGACTCTGTTGTTGCGGAAGCTGAGAGGTTTGAGTTCTTTGTCCTCCCTCCAGTTAGTTGTTTCCAAACAATGACCAGAGCGATCGCATCTGTGTTGGGCTCAAGTTATGCCAGGAAACCAGAAATTCAACTTGTTCGTTGGCCTTTTCTGCCTCATCCAATAAACTTTCCATTTCCACTGGGTACAAGACATAAGGTCTGAGATCACTGATCGATATGTGCAGACGCTTCGAGAGTATGCCCGTGATGTGAACATCGTCCAAGCGAAAGTACGGTGACCTTTGGGCTTCTGCATAGAGTTTCTTTGCCACATCCGGACTGTAGAGTACCGTGAAACCGGGACAAAAGTCGGGGTAATGAGAGCCAGAGTACTCCCTGAAGCTCACACGCCATTTGGAGCGATAGGAACGAATAACGCGATCATCAATGACTTTCGAGCACAGCAAAAGTTCTCTGCGCTGCTGTAGGAGATGGTCCAGCCTTTCATTGGAGCGTTTCACTTCGTTTAGGTTCTGCACAAGTACTCGGGTGTTCACAAATATATCGTCATCCACCTTGAGCAGAAACTGAGCATTGTTGCAGTGAGAGTTGAACCATTTCAAGGCCATCACATGCTTGTAGGTAATGTTGCTGTAGGTGTCCACGAAATTGCCCTGCAAGAGGTCACCGTATTGCGCCTGCTCCTCCACAATCGCTGTTTCCAGTGAGCTATTCGAAATGCTGCCCAAGGCAAAGATCAAACGAAGAGGCGACCCATCAATGGCATTGACTCCACCCCAAGTTTCGCGTATTACCGAACGTTTCTCATGATTACTGGGAGCTGTGTGGACTACTATCAGTCCCTTGGTGACCGCGTCACATGGGGCTTGCTCCATTATATAGGAAAAGTTGCCAAAGTCAATTAAGTGTTGCTCATCATTCGGAAAATTGTATTCCATTGGTGTGGGACCACTCTCAGGCGATTCATTCGTGGGAATAAGGTAGATCATGAGGCACAGTTTCAACCAGACAATTAAAGTAATCCAAGAACGAGCCAGCAGGTTGGCCATTTTACATTTCTTTTACTTGTTATATTGGCTTTAATTCCCGCAACGTTCTGCACGCGACTCGCTCTAATACCAAACTGACAGTAACTCCAGCGATAAGCTTCGACCAGTAAGAGTAATACTTTATCAATCAGCTCTTATCAGCTAATGATTGCTGGTTTCGTTCGGAAGTAGCACGTCATATCTTCCCCCGGTTCCAAGTTTATCTTATCTGAATGTCTCTGAAGGCCAAATAATATAGTTACAGCTGCACGTGTGGTAGACTAATGGAGCTTTACTTGTTGGTTGATTTGTGTGCTGTGATATTTAAATATCAAGGAGTCCATTTCCTTCATCACAACCTGACAACTTTCGCCATTTGGCTTTTAGAAAGTAACGTGTGGCCTTTCGCCTGCTAAATTAAATGCAAGCAAAGTTTTTCATTTCATCCAGAGTTTGTTATCCACGTTTTTCCCTGTGGCTTCTGTTTTCTTCACTGCCTCTTGCACATCATTTGCATGGCCATGCAAATTGTGAAGGCTTTTCGTTTAATTGATGGCAATCGCAACATTGTATGAGAAGATTGTGCAATTACTGTGCTTGCACATGTGTGTGGGTGTGTGTGTGTGTGTGTGTATTTTTAATACAATTTTATCGAAATTATAAAGGTTTTTGTTCGGGTATTTACCAGCTGCCAGGTGCATGTTATTGGTTAACTCGTTTATGGTGGATTTATATATTCAAAGGATATTGGCAGGGACTTTTCAATGACAAGCAGAAACACTGAAACACCGCAAATAATATCTACAATTTAAGGGCATATTTTGAAGTAATTCTCATACAATTTCTTCAGCTGCTCAACGACCAAAGGTCAGTCATCGTTTATGCGCTACTTCCTCAAAATATCAAGTAGTAAATCGATATGTGGGCGTCTACTAGCATAAGAAAATCATGAATATATTCCAATTTTGTTTGGAATATTGTCTCTTACTCCAAATATGTAAATGCACTCAATTTGTCAGATCGTGCGATGCGAATTGACCTTGACCATCGCGAGCGACGCGCGACAGCAACAACAGCAACGACGACGACGACGACCCATAAACTGACTCATCGAAACTCAGGTCCCCTCCCAGCAGAGCCGGTTCTGCGCTCATCCATACACATATACATACACATATACATATGTGTGTGTGTATGTAGATTGCCCTTGAGTATTTCTCCGCTGGTGGCGGCTGCCTTCCCAATGCCCATTCACAAGATGCACAACAAGTTTACGTTTTTACTGATTTTGATTATGCCCACACGGATTTAATTGGCCTGGCCGCCAGAGGTTGTTCGGCCGGCCTGTAATTTGTGCCTATCAGAGACCTTATCAATTTATCAAAAATAAAATGCGGGGAGCACTCGTGCATCCCATTATGGCTTGTACACATCCAAGACTTGACAGCAGCTGTCAAAATATTGTGACATGATGTACGGACGTACGTACATCTTTATGTCTGCAGATGGGAGTTTGATTGAGGATGTCTTTTGGCTGCCTGCCTGTTCTTTTATGTATTAATTAACTAAATTGGTTCTTTGAGCTGCTCAAAATAATTGCTACGAAAACTAAAATAAATAACCAAAATAACCAGAAATATTATTTCGAGAAAAGTGAAACATTTTCATTGCCCATCACAGACCACAAGACCAAATGGAAGAGAAAGTTCGACGAGGAAGTAGCTTCGCATAAAAAGTTCTTGCAGCTCCATATCTGATTGGTGCTTTTGAGCATTTATCTTTCCAGATATCCCACTTTGACCCACTTATGGCTCACTTTTCCATGGGAGCGGAGTGCATATTTCATTGGCCAATTTTCCAGACCATAAAGGAAAACATCTATTGGCCAGCAGCTCGACTTTGACTTCACCTTTCAGCGAAGCTAAAACTTCAAACACATTTATCGGCCGCACTTATCGCATTTCATTGCAAATTTCCTTTAATTGCTGCTAATTTTTTCCATTGCTAAAGACAAACACAAAAAAGCCAAACCTAATCCCCAGCGCGCTGCAGTGGCAGCAATTGGCCAACTAACAATCTTCAATGGGGTTTATCTTTCTCATTTGGCTTGTGCGCGGCCCCTTTCAGTTTTGTGGCCAACAGTCCAAGAGCCAACTCAATGCCGCCCCAGGCTGCAGGCGTTGATTTGAGCAAGTTTTTTACATTGTTTCATTGGCCAATTTCCGCAGTTTTCTGTTAATGGTTTGTTTGCCTCTTAATGGCGCGCATAATTTGTCTCCCGCTGCTTTGATTATAAAATCAAAGAGTTTGCATTCGATGATGACATCTGCTGAGGATTTAGCTTTAGACTTTGGACTCCTCCTTCTTGCACTTTGACTTTACTTGATTTGCCTTCTTTTACTCGAATTCTGTGGCAGATTTGCGCTATTTGCGTAATGCTCCGACACTTTCCCTGGCTTCGAGTCTTTATGCAAATACTAAGCTGCTGCATTAGCCGCTGTAAACCCCCCAAAATCGAACCGACTGTGCCACATATGGCCAAGTGCACTTGCACTCAGCGATTGACTGCAATGTTTGCATACGGCTTTTGGCATCCGCTCAGCACTTGGCTGAAAATTGTCACGTTTTTGGTCAGTGGTTCGTTGGGGTGGGGACTGCAAACTGAGTGGGTAACCTTTTTAGCAGGTGCTGCAAAATACATTCGCCATTAGGTATGCAACTTTAGTAAACCTTTTGGTTTTATTCAATTTAAGATCACTTGAAAAATATCGAAATTTAAAGCGCCAAAGAGCGCACTCCCGAGAACAATCACGAGGCCAAAGAGCTTTAAGTATTTGCTTCCCAGTTTACGCTTTAAATGCAAACATGATGGAGAACGCCGCTGCTGAAGTGTCAAAAACACAAATCACATTCCTATGAAAATTGAAATGTAATTTACCATTTATTCTGCGCGTATTCCGGTTGCAAATGAAATTAAATTGAAGCCCAACCAATCGGAGTAAAATGCGAACCGAAATGAACACGTCACACTAAAGGTGCGTAGCGTGGATTAAAATGAATGTCAATTGGCAGTTGCATGCCACAAAGGGATTACACAGCCTGACAAAACATTATGGCAGCGAGAAAAATACATTTTGTCAGGTCGAAAATGAAATAAAATTGGACCAAATGAACGGAGATGAATGTTGACACGCAGCCAGAGGGGCAATGTTAAAATGTGTAAATAAAACTAACAAATGGCAAGAAAGAACCATTGGGAGGCGGCCCCGCTGTCAAATCTGGCTAGCTGACAATGACAGCAGTAGCAGGGTAGACGTCAAGTTCTACAGCAAAATAAATTGTTTTCGTTACACAACTTGTTGGTGTTATGTGCGCCACTTGACTTGTAAACGGGCAATGGCCCCAAACAACCAGAATAACCACAAAGGAAGGACCTCAAAGAGGACCTCTTCCTTTCCATTGTTGACCCAGTTATGAGCCCACAAAACAGGCAACACACAAATAACAGGCAGGGCGGCGGCATCATCTACTTCAACATATTCCCGTGCCATTGCCATTCCACTGTCTGAAGAATCTTTCCCGCTAATGACAGCAGCTCGTTTGGTACGCGGAAAAGTATGCTATGGCGAATGTGCTGACATAACAAGAAGCATACAAAATTAAAGATATTATATGAACCCAGTAAAAGACGAGGAGCAGCCCAGAATGTTGACCATAAAACTGGCAGATAGAAGGCCACAAGCACAGACAGCATGACGCCCAGGGGAAAGTTCTGAGACAGCGCAAAAACCACAAGAACCAGGACAAAGTTTCACTTCGGCACGGAACTCCCACGGAGTGGGGGCATGACAGAGTTCTGGGGACAATAGTATATGAGCTTGCTGGTTGGTGGAAGTTTAACACATTAAACAGTCGGATTAGTTTTGGGGAAATTCATAAACAAATATAATTGGGTTTCGCCCTAAAAGATTGAGATGATAAAACGATAGGCTAAGAGAGTTACTTTGTTAGGTAAATGAGGTCAAAGTTTCACGTCAGAATTTGCAATGGAATAAGAGCTTTAATTTCCCTCAATTTAATTTTCACCAACGTTAAATGGACATCCACTTGGACATTTATTTGTCAAACAATATTTGTCCAAAACTCTCCAACTGAAGTTTATTTTTCTAAGCATTTAACATTCCTCATTCATTTCAGCTCCAACTAATATCCAAGGCCAGAAAAACAATTTACAAAACTCTCATTTAAACCCCAAATTGGTTGACTTTCTGTGAACCAAATCATCAGCTAGCCAAACCCAAAAAACAATTCAATTCAATCCCTAGCATTGTTTGCAAAAAGTCAACTTTGTCCATAACTACAAATGATTCGTTTTTCCTGGTCAACAGTGGATGGTATGGTTCATGCCATCCACTATGCACTATCCACTATCCACTATCCACTCGATCTATGCAGACCCCGAAAATATTTCAACTAAATGAGTGAAACTAAAAATCTATTATAACTTTTGCCCACACAAAACGTCGAAACTTTTCACCGGATTTCCCGCTGCCCGTGCGGGGTCCTCGCATCAGCACTCATTCCTGGTGGGAAAAGTTTTTACATGGACCATCGCGGCGTATGCGGAATGTGCTGCCAATTAGAAGTTTATGTTCGTCAGGAAGAGAGGGAGAGGGTGGGCTCAAGAGGGCAGACAAATTAATTTGCCACCACCTCTGTCTATCCTTTGCCCTCTCGCTCGGAAAAAAACTTTAACTCAATTTTTTTCCTGTTAATTAAATAGACAGGGCCCGAACCAGGGTGTCGGCTTAGAGTTGGGCCAACATTTGTTACCTTTTCGAGAGGATGGCACAAAACAGTTTTGTCAGTTTATAATAATTAACTGCGTGAGCCGGCTTAGGGTTAGGAGGTGAAAGCCTGAGCGATAAGAGACAGATACAGAGATAGAGAGGGAGAGAGAGACAAGAACAAATCTCTGACATGACCGCAATAATCCCCAGCAAATGTTGCATACTTTGGGGCGGCTTAAGGCCAACATACTTTTGGTATTCCACTCAAGACTCATTTATACCAGAAAGTTGTC